TAAAGTTGAGTATGCTTCTACTCCCTTTTGTAAAGTTAATTTGTTGACATATAAAACAAAAAAAGCTGAATCTCTTTTCATCTATATATAGTCTATCATTTCCACATAAACCTTGTCACACAATAGTGACACACTAACATATGAATTTTGTGTTGATTAAAGTCAATAAAAGAAAAAAAAAAAGAAAACAAAGATGAAAAATGTTGATAAAAGTTCAAAAATAATATATGTAAGAAACTGTTACAAAAGTTCAATTATTAATCTTGTTGAAATTGTTATTAACTGAATGTATTCCACTAACTTCGTCCTTTAAACTTGTGAAATTTGCCTTCCTAAATAGAGACAACAAGGTAATTAATGTGGTCAAAAATTTGAGAGAAGAATTTGATAAACTTTCTTTACTCCAATGCGATGATTATGATTACATATCGAAGAAAGGGAAAATAAAAACTTGTATGGACAGAGATGAATTGATACCCTGGCTTCTAAACGTTATAACATGCAAGAGATAGAACAGCCAAGTTCAAAAGTTATATAACTCTCCTTGTGATATTTTTGGAACTCAAATGACATATTTCAAAATTTAGAAACTTTTATTTTCATATTTACACTTCAACCTCAATCTAAATGCATCCTAGTGCATAGCAAGGTAAAATCAATTCCCTCCCTCTTTACGCATTAATATGAAATGCACCCTATGTGTTTTTTTTTTTTTTTCAATTTTCAAGTAATTCAACATATTTTTAAAGGTTAAATGCATACCCTAATTAATATATAAGGTAGCATTTTATACCATGTGTAATATCCCAAATTTTCTGATATTTTAGCATTTAGTTAGGGGCTTAATTGTGAAGAAATAATATTGTTAGGCCTAATAGTGAATATTTCAAAAGTTGAGGGACTTAAAAGAGGAAAGAATTTGGATAAGGATCGGCTGATTTTTTTCCTTTTTCTTCTTCCTTAGTCGCCCGATTCTGCTCTTCTTTTCTCCCCTACACCGAACAAGAAGCAAGCCACCGACTGCACCACCCATTTGAGAAAATCGGTAAGAGAGCTTGTATTTTTCCCTTCTTTTCTTGTTCAAGAACAAGATTTAAGCTTGGAAATCCCCCCCCTCTACAGAATTTCGAATCTGCTCTGCTCTGTTCTTTTCCGTCGGCTGCTCTTCCTTGTTTGGGTGTGAGTTCTTCAAAATTCTGGTAAGAGACAACCATTATATTCTCTATTTTTCCTTTCATTGGCTTGGGTTACTCTAAGTTCCTCTTGTTCCTTCAATTTTGGGTTAATTCCGTGAGGCCCCTGCAGAATTGCCGCCGGCCTTCCCCCAAACTGCAGCTCCAATTTTTTGCTGCTAAATTCTGGTATGTAACAGCCCTTTTAAGCCTAAAATTTTGCATTAGTTGCTGAATTTAGTCAAGTTGATTGCTGCCCTATGTTGTCCGAATTTTTGCTAAAATGGGAGATGAATTCCGATAGCTTTAGGACAAAATTTAAGCATTAATTCAAGTGAAATTTATGTGATTGAGTGTGAATGGACTGCTGTTAGACTTTGGAGAAAAATCCTGTGAGATTAGCTATGGTTTTGCCAATTTTTGAAAGTTGCAGTTACTGTTCATGGCGTAATTACTGTTCACGGCGTAATTACTGTTCATGTTACTGTTCATAGATTACTATTCATGCACTAATGGCCAACAATAGGAGGGTTTAAATGTTTAGTTATATTGAGAATGAAATTGAGATATTTGGTCATATGGTTGAATTTCGTGTGAAGCTCATTGGTTAGTAAATTTGTGAGGTTGTGCTAATAATTCTAGTAAAGTCTGAATGTATTTCTTTGGAATATTAGGTGCTGTTATGGCTTAGAGCATTGGGATTGAGTCCTCGGTTTATGCGATTTAAGGTAAGTAAATTATGGTAACGCCCTTTGATTTTAAAGCATGTTTTAAATTGTTTTTGGGATGGTGGCAAGGTTTAAATTAATTTTATTCATTTAAATTGATTTTATTAGTACCGAGCATGATTGGTTTGAAATAAAATTGTTTTCATTTGCATTGAGTAGAGCATGCCTACTTGGAATTTGTTTAATTGCCCTAATGATCTGAGATTTTTATAAATTCTGATTTTTCTGTTAAATCCATACCCACATGGAATTTTTCTGGCTTATTCTGAAATTTGAGATTTGATTGTGAATTATGGATTTCTTTTGTAAATCCTGCATGGTTTTGTCTCTGATATGGACATGTATATACTGTGCCTGCTAGTGGGATGTTTATAAACGCTAGCATATGTCGACATGCAACGTTTTAAAAACCGGACCGGACCGGTCGGTTGAACTGATCGAACCGGTACCCAGTATTAAAAACGGTTCGGATCAACATTTAGAACCGATAGAACGATTGAACTGCTCAAAACCGATAAAATCGTTCGAACCGATACAAACCGAAGAACCGTTCAACCAGACGGTTTAAATCCTTTGAAGGATTTACCTTAAATTTGCTACCCGGAGGCTTGAACACATGACTTCAAGAAGATTTTCTGTGACTTTTGCCACTAGGACGTTACCTCTTTGATCGAAATGATTTGCTAACAATTTCATTTATGCTATTCTTGAAAGAAAAGAATTGACGATGCCTTCCAGTAGAATCGAACTTTCCTTCCCTTTATGAACTTTGATGTTAAAATTAATATAGTGTTACTCTAATATTTATTTTAAATATATAAATTAAAAGTGTGATAAATATAATTTTTTGTAATTAATTTATATAAAAATAATAAAAATTGATATTTATTTTAATATTATTAAT